AAGCTGCTAGAGCCTGGATTAGAACTGTGGCTGGCCATTTGGGATCTGGCTCCCCTAAGTGGGCTACGGTATTGGCCTTTATATATCTTAGAAACACAAATAATTACTGCTCAAATATAGGTATGTGTGTGTATGTGTTTGGGTTTACATAAATGTAAATCAACATTTTTAAATGGGGGTTTGGGGCTGGTGCCTGGAACAACGCTAACATGCTGCTCAAGAAAAGCCAGATCCCACATGGAGACTGGGGTTCAAATCCCTGGCTTATTTGGCCTGAAGCACAGTGGGTACCCACGTGAGTGCCCAACATCTTACGGGCTGGAGGGCTAGAGAGAGAGGACCATGGTGTCTTCGGACCTCGTGGGTATCCACGTGAGTGCCCAATATCTTAAGGACTGGAGAATTAGAGAGAGAGGACCACGGTGTCCTTGGACCTCATGGAGCTGCTTCTCTCTCACGCTCATCCTCATGTGTGCATGCATGCTATCGTGCATAAAGAAAAACAAATGGATTTTGGCTATCGTGTGGCAAATCCCCATTTAAAAAAATAAATTTATTTGAAGTGAAGTTTATAAATGTGGGAACTAGTCTAACATAAATAGATTTCTTGGTCATCGCCGGATAATTTTAATTGATCTTCCTCAGAAGAGAAGGGGACCTGTGAATGACCTGGCATTTCATGATTGGCAATGAATGGCAAAAAATGGTTACACCAGATTTCACTGTTTTTCATAGAAATCTACAAGAAATTTGCAGTCACATGACTAGGTATGCTGTAGGTATCTGGGGCATTTTATTTCAATTATTTAAACTAGGCGGAGGGCACACGTGCTTGCCAGAAAGAGACAGAGACAGAGAGAGAAAGCACCTCCCCATGGGTCATCGTCATATCAAAATCTTTTCTCCTCCAGTGCTCCTTTTAGGGTTTTGGGCTCACTTGCTCAGTGTGTTTTTCAAGCTGCTAGGTCTAGGATTCAAACTGCACAATAGGTCACATGGGATCCAGTTGCCTAAACCACCAAGCCACTAGCTGGCCCTATCTGGAGCGTTTTACAACAAAACTTTCACACTTGCCTCAATTTTCTGGAGATAGAGTCAATGAATAACAGTATTTTCTAATAACTCATTTTTTCCCCTAGAAACATTATCTTTTTATCCAATAATGAAAGGAGTTTACATTCTGTGGAGAAGAAAAGATGATTTCATTTTATCTTTCTCATAAACCAAAGTGCTACTGTTAGTCAGGACCTAGTCAATGAGGCATGTTTCTTGGAGAATTTTGGGAGCTTGTGGCTGAAAATTAAAGTGCCAGAAAGGGATTCCAAAGTGCCTCTACCATTCCTACCATGTGATCCCCGTGGAAATTAAGGTGTTGCCAATGTGATGGTATAAAAAGGTGGGGCCTTTAAGAAGTGATTAGGTCACAAGGGCTCCTCCTTTGTGAATGGGATTGAGGCTTTTTATTTTTAATTTGTTAAGGTTTATGCCATAGGATGCATGGACTCCCTGGAGAGAGAAAGAGGAGACAGAGGGAGAAAAACAGAGAGACATCACCCTGAATCCCCTGGGGAGATAACCACGCTATGATCCCTTCTCCTTCATTCTCCTCTTGGGATTTTGGGTGGAATTTTCAAGCCGTTTGACTCAGAACTCAAACCGTAGTCAGCCATGTTGGAGGCCAGCACCTTAACCACTACACCATCTGCTGGATCGAGGCCTTTAGGAAAGACTTCACCCTATGGAATAAACTGAAATACTGGACAATATAAAGCCATGGAGAGCAACTGTGGACACCAGACACAATGTGGGAAGACGGTAGGGAATGGCAGAGAGAGAGAGGGAGGGAATCAAGGGGAAAAAAGAAAGAAGTACAACAGTTAAGAAACACAAAATAAAAAATTATCTGTTGAAGATAATGGGTGTAGTAATATCTTTGATTGGACCAATAGTCCATGTAAACTGAATGGGAAAACTCATTTTGTATGCTGTAGTAGTAGACAGTGAAAGAATGCTAAAAAAAAAAAAGAAAAAAGAAAAAAGAAAAAAAAAAAACAAAACACAACACCTAGAAATCTTGACCTAGCATTGGGCCCTCTTGCCTCTCTGTCTCCTGCCAAGGGAGGACACAGTGTTCTTCCTCTCACTGGGATGAGCCCTCAGCAGGCAGTCAAGTCTATAGAGGCCTTGGTCTTGGAGTTCCTGTCACAAGAACTGTGAGGAAATTAATTTCTATTGTTTATAACTTATCCTGCCTGTCCTATGCTGTTATAGCAACACAAATGGGCTAAGACAACATATCTGCAACTTAGTTTTCTTGTGTACAAAACGTGGATATTATCTACAGCCCACTAGAGAGAAGACACGTAAAGACCTTTGCAAACTAGACTTCTACGTGAACATCGCATATTAAACGGGTTGGCACAATATTTTTAGCTAGGTATTTGTATTTGATGAGTTGAGGGGGGCAGAAAATTGACTCATGAAGATAGTGTTTTGGTGTACACAGTAATGTTGGGCCTCACATCTGGCTGTAAGCCCTCTTCTACACTCACTCTACAGCAGTGACTTTCTTGCCAATTCCTGACAATGCCATGCATGCTGCTGATTCAGGGCCTTTGCATTCAATGTTTCCTTCTGCCAGGAACACTCTTGGAAACCTACAAGGCTTGCCACCTCACTCTCTTTACGTCATCATCTAAGTGCTATTTCCATGACCTTTCCATTTAAAATCACAAATTTCCTCCTCAAGATGAAGCTTCATACTCTCTTAATTTATTTTTCTTTATATTATTTATTGCTTTCACTTATTTTATTTTTTTCTTTGGTAATTATCTGTCTTCCTTCATGTAGAATGTATGCTCAAAACGAAGTGATTTTTGGGGCCAGCAGTTAGCATAATGGCTATGTCGCTGGATTTCTATGTAGTCGACCACGGTTCACATCCCGGACCTGGTGGCTTAAAACTCACGCCGAGCACATGTGTGTGCGTGCCCAAGATCCCGAGAGGAGAATGAAGGAGAAGGGATTGCGGCGTGACCATCCCCCCCGGGGGGTGATTTCTCGCTTTCTGTCTCTATGGCTCTCTCTGTCTGGCGAGCGCACTTGCCTTATAGCAAAAACCTCTTAAAAAAAATTAAGTGATTTTTGTCTGTTGGTTTAGTGTGTCCCCACAACAGTGCCTGTCATATGGGAGACACTCTATCTATATCTGTTGGATGAAAAATGGTCTGTCATATGGGAGACACTCCATACATATCTGTTGAATGAATAATGGTGAATTTTTCCCTTTTCTTACCAAGGAATAGACTGCAGAGTATCCACTAAAAGCTTCTGTTTGGCATCTATTCAATCGAATATTAAGAGATCTGTGCTTGATTGTTTTTAAAGAAATTAAAGAGAAGATCTGGAATATTGCATGAGTCTGCTTTTATAAAAGCTACTACAAAAGGGCTTCAATTAAATATAAAATTTGACAAGTGATTAGTCTACATCTTCTAAAAGTCTACTTCATTTTTTTTCTGATTTTGAAAAAGACATTACGAACTAATTAAGATGTTTCATTTCAGATTTGGCAAATGCACTCAATAATAATCATTGAATAAATGTTACTCTTTTCTACTCCTCTTCCTGAGATACATTGTGAGCAAATTGTAACACATTCTAATCCCCATAAACCAATCTCTTTTTTTGGAGAGATTTTCACTGTAGGGCGCGTGCGCTCGCCAGACAGACAGAGAGAGACATAGAGACAGAAAGTGAGAAATCACCCCGTAGGGGGGATGGTCACGCCACAATCCCTTCTCCTCCATTCTCCTCTCGGGATCTTGGGCACGCACGCACACGCGCCCGGCGTGAGTTTTAAGCCACCGGGTCCGGGACACGAACCGCGGTCGACTACGTGGGAGTCCAGCGACATAGCCATTACGCTAACTGCTGGTTCCCCCCCATAAACCAATCTTTATAGTGTAAGATACACATTAAAAACGGAATCTAAGTATAGCACTAAGCATCCTAATTAATGTTCTCATTAACTAATGTTTCATTTTCTCTTGTTGTAGTTAAAATCCCAGACATATAATTCATTTTATCATTTAATAAATCATGATGACTTAGTAGATACTAGGCAAAATATTGACACTTCTTTATGGGAAATTGACAAATATTAAACTGATGGTGTTAATGTAGGTTCTCTAGTACTCGATGGGCAACTTCCAATTTAATATCTCAATAATGTGATATGCAACCACAGGAAAAGAACATTCATAGACGTAATAAGGACATTTATTGGCTCTCAAATCTACTGAGTCAGGGGGAAAGTAATGATGTATTTTAATATGTTTTTCTATGCAAAACTGTGTCATGACTTTCCCAATGACCCAAAAGATGCCCAGAGGTTGAGAGCCTTCAGGGTTGGGTCAATGCTGTCATTAGAACTCAGATGTGTTCCATCCTTCCTTCCTTCCACATGCTTCACTGTTCTCAGCCTATCAGGAAGGTAACAGTTTCAAACCTAGCCCAAATACCCTATCTGCTACCTATCTCCAGTGTGAGAAATTTCTTCAGCTCCATGTAGTTTCCTTCTGACTGGCGTTGTACTGGAGGGCAGCTGTTTCAGGTACTAACCATTGAGTATCTCTGGAGGAGAATTCACAAGGAGGCAGCTTACACTGAGATGGAAAATATATGTGGTAGATTTAGTCTTTTAGTCTGCCAGTGTTCAAGTACTGGAGCTACTACTCATGAACTATGTCACCTCTTTTTTTTTCTTTAAGAGTTTTTTTTTTTTTTTCTTATAGGTGCATGTGCTTGCTAGAGATGTATATATATAGAGAGAGAGGGAGGGAAAGCAAGAAACCACTCCCTGGGGAGATGACCACACCACAATCTCTTCTCCTCTATTACCCTCTCAGAATTTTGGACATGTATGTACATGCACCCAGCATGAGTTTCGTTTCTTTTCTCCTCCTCCTCCTCCTCCTCCTCCTCCTTCTTCTTTTTTACAGGGGAGAGTGTGAACGCAGTCCCCCATTACCACAAATTATGCAGTTAAGTTTCCCACATTTGGGGAAATTGCAGGGGTCAACACATCCAGAGTGCACCTGGATAAGCATCACCCTGGGAAAACCAGCTTCATGATCATGCTATCTCCCTGCCAGGTAAGTATCCTGACATGAGTTTCAAGTCTCTGAGTCCGCAGCTTGAATCATGGTTGGCCAAGGGGAAGTTCAGCACCATAACCACTACGTCATATGCTACCCCCTAATCACAGCATCTTGAGTAATTATGTAACTTCTCTGTGTCTCAGATCTCCTCTTTGCAGAGGAGATAACATATCTTCCTTAAACATAAAGTGTTTAAAACGATTCCTGCCATATACATGCTCAATATCCATAAACTCTCATTGTTATCCCTGCAGTTAACGATAGGTCTCCCAAATTCAATATCAAATTAAGAATTGGCTGTTGATCTGGACAAATAGAGACAACAATTCAAGCCCAAATTGTGTCTTTAATTATCTGGTACTTTTGGAAGTCAGACATTTCATTTATTTAATTCATCTGAGTAATGCACTCTACCTTGTCATTGAGGTATGACGAAGTTAAAGTTATGGTATAGAGATGACTAGGAGACAAATGTGTTGGGGTTACACCTGTAAGTGACACCTAATGAAACTACTAGGCATCCAAGCACCATTCAGCTCCATTACCAAGCCATGACACGTATGGATCCTGCAGACGCATCATCGTAGAAGGACATTTTATATTGCTCGATATTTCATACATTTACTACCTGATTCCATTTCTTGCGGATGCACAGATGAGTATGTATACGTTGAGGTGATGACTCAAATAAGTAGGAACAAGCACAGAGAGAAAGAAAGGGATTGAAACCCAAAGGATATTGCCAATGTAGATCTTATCAGTCAGGGATCTGGAGAAAATTACCACACATTAAAATTTTGCACAAATACTTACAGAATGATAGATGTTTTAAGAGTAATCCTTTTCAAAGTACTATTTTCTTTTTCTTTTTAAACATCTCTACTTGCTATTCCTTTTTTCTTAGATGTAGAAGCAGAGCTGATTTCACAATTGACTGTTGGTCTGACGTTATTAATTTCTTTATTCACTTTTTATTGCCAGAGGATGCATGCACGAGAGAGAGAGAGAGAGAGAGAGAGAGAGAGGACTCCGGATAAGGTATGCTCACACCGACCACAATCCTTTTTTCTCCATTTCTCTACTCCACCAGGTTTGGGGACATGCATGTGCACACACCTAGCATTTCTCAAGCTGCTCGGGCTGGGATTTGAACTGTGGTCACCCATGTGGGATCTGGTTCCCAATGCAAAGCACTTAACCACTGTGCTACAAGGGCCAGGCCACTCTGATGATTTTTAAAAGCTTCAGTAAAATACATGACTTCCTCTTAGAGTTGACACTAAAGCTTTCTTGAGTACAAACTCACTTACTTCTCTGATGTGGCATCTTTTCAAGCATATTCCCTTCATTATAATAGTGAAAGATGATGCTCTTATTAGCAAAATGATCAAACTATCTGTTCCTTTTTTCTATAAGAAAAGAGAGCAGAGTATTAATGTTGTAAGTATCATTTCAGTTTTAATGATTAAAAAAAAGTTTTTCTGTTTTTCAGGTTGCGATGAGACTGATACGTACAACCTAACAACCGGTCTATCGCTGCTGTTGGGAAATCCCCCGAAACCGGGGCTGTGTGAAAATGGGAAGAAGGTAATAGCTTTTCAGAGCAGGTGGTCGGTTGTTTTGGCCACCCTTGTTCTACGAGCATGGGGAGAGTTAGTTCTCCTTCTGCTATCCTATCTCCCAGACATCCCAGGAAGTAGTTTGGCATCAATTCTCTCAGGGCAGCGCCTACTTAGGCCTTTTTTATTCTTATAAGGTGGAATATTATCAATCTAGCAGGTCATGAGAGTGCATTCAAATTTATTCTGGGGCAAAAAAAAAGGGGGGGGAGGGGGAGGGAAAGTCAGGCTCGCTTTGTGTGTGTGTGTGCATATGCAGAGTCATGCAATTTGTGTGTGTGCGCACATATTTATGGAGATGAAATATTGAATTCGCCACAGCCTTTGTTAATCAGTAAATAAGCTGTGCCCGTTTAAACATACTATCAGAATTCTGAATTTCTGGCTAAGAATCTCCCTGCTTGAGCATGCCTGTTGGAAATCACTGCCGTTGCTGTTGCCAGGGGTCATTAAATGTACAGGAAAGGAGGCAAGGCAAAGATGCTCTTCCTTGTCTTAAATGAGCAAGGGTTAGTGAAGAACACTGGCAGATGAGCAAGTTATATACAATCCCAGGGACTCCAGTCCCCCTCCTGGGGACTGCAAAATTCTATGCCACTGCGAAGCAGCTTCGAAATGAGCCGACAAAGAAGTCCATTGACTTTATCGTGAATATGCTTGAATCACACAGAAGACAAGAATAAATCACCTTACAAATGTGTCTGGTGTCATTTTCCTGTCTCCTTCCAGTTCCCCCACCCCCACCCCTTTTGTTCTTTGTGGATGTTTTTGTTGTCAGCAGGCAGCATCTTGGAGAAGTCGCCTTTTCAGGATTTTTGTATAGGTGACCAGGGCGGGAGCTAGATGCTGCTGCAGTATGAATCTTTTAAAAGCTGCCTAAGAAATATTTAAGACCCTGGTCTAGGAGGAACGGCTCTCCCAGGCATAATTTTTGGTGCTGGTTGCAGCAGGGAGCGTATGCTGGGAGGAAAGTATTATTTTTCTAAATGGAAGGTGTCAGATGGTCACGCAATGTGACTGCATGTTCGAGATCACTGCCTCCCATCTGCAATTTGTGACGTGTGAAAGATTCTGCCCAAATGTGCTCACCAACTGGAAATCCTCGGCACTTTTTTTCCTTATCAGGAGAGACCAAGATAACCAATGGTTTACAGATCAGGGATCCTATCAAATTAATATCACTGTAGGATAAAATCTGTTTTAAATACAACTCCTAAACTCCAGCAAAGTTAACTAGTACAAACAAGTTCATTCATCTGATTAAGAACCGCTGCTCAGGAAACAACAACAAAATGAAATCTGCTTATCACTCTACCTCACTTCAAAATAGTCTTATGCTTATAGCTTTCAAAAATAGGCTGGATCCAAAAGATGATGTATTTTTCCATGCTAATTAATGTCGGCCAAGTAACACCATCCACTAGGACTGAAGGAAAAGCATTTTCAAATCCGTGTTTGGTTTTCCTTGTCTGATACCCCTCTGAGTCTCTTTCCAATGAAATGCAGCAAAACTCAGAGAGGACAGACTATTTAGCCATTACCTGAGTAAGATTCCACATTTTGAACTGAGCTGGAACCTCTGAGTTCTGTTTATTCTTGGCTAGGCATAATTCCCAGCTTCTCAGATAAAAGGGTTGTAAAAAGGCTCATAAGGTGCTTCGGACATCAAACAGCTCATACAAAACAATATCTTGATGAGTTAAGTGCAAATGAATCAGAAATGTAATGGGCTAAAATTCCCTGGCTGTGCACTGGGGTTGACATCTCAAGGAGAAAAGTGCTTGGCTCTGCAAAGCACACCGGGGCTCTCATCACCCTCAATCCTTGCAAAGGGGCTTAGTAGGTTTGGCCTGACTAGGAGATGGGTTTCCATTGTGTTGCCTGATTTTAACCTGATAGATTAGAGACAAAAATGGCCTTCTTCATTTTTTTTTAAAGTTTATTAATTCTATGAGTGAGAGAGTCAGAGACAGAGAGAAAGAAACATAGCACTCCACCAGGGTCTTGATGGCATGACCCACCTCCAGCTTCATCCAGCCCATGCACGCTGTGGGCACACAAATGCCCAGAGCACTCAGGGAGGTCTCCAGACATGAAAGGGTAACATTTCCACAAGTCTGCCTCACAGAGCTTCACAGCTGCACCACTGTCTGGCCCCCTTCCTCAACTTTGTTAATTTCTTATCTACATAAAATGGAGGAGGAAAGGTTAGAAGGAAAGAAACCTTCAGGTAAGTGCAAAAGCTGTATTCATTCCCAAATCATTTTATATGATATAATTTGCATCACAAAGCTCTTCACAATCAGTGACAAAATACAGAGGGATTACAAAGTCAAGAGATGGATCACCATCACTGTTTTGTGAAGCAGTTTGCCACTGCTGGCTGCAGAGGGGAGGGAGGGAATCACACAGGGCTGAAATCCTCTGTGCTAAACCAGTAATCTGGAGGGCCTAAGGCACTGGCATGGCACCTTCTCCCACAAAAAGTGCCTGAAACTGCCCTTGAGGGGCAAAGAGTGATATGATCTGATGGCTCCTTACATAAACCATTGCCATATACAGATGGTCCTGGGCTCTCTTAAAGGGCAATCTGGGTAGGTCAAGTAAAACTAGCAGTGATATGAATAAGAAAATGGGATTTTATCGAGTGGAGAGAACGTGGCTAAAAGGAGACTGTTCCTGAGTGATATGTCAGAAAATAAAGAATTAACAGAGGAAAACAGACCTTTTACTGAACAGTAACCCTGTGCACTGAACTCGGATTTCCTTTGTGATGTAAGGCCTTGCCTTGCCTCGCATCAGAGCCAGATCCCTTCCCTTTAAAACTCAGAGCAGATCCATCCTTACTCCCCAGTGCTCCCTGTTAGGAAACCCAGATGAGTACTACGTGGTGCTCTTTCTCCTCTGAACTCACTCACTGGATTTTGTCTCTGTATCCATTTTTAGCCATAAACCATTTTCTGTTGCTGTAAAAATGAAGAGTCAGTAACCAATAGTAACTTTTTGCTGGAATTAAATATTTCATAAATTTTGCCTTAGACTTCTATTTAAACTGGAGGTTTCTTGAGGCAAGGGTTCAGCCTTAATTATCTTTTATCAATATTTTCTCATGGAAGAAGGGGAAAGATAGCAATTTTGTGCAAGACATCCAGTTCATTTAGCCCTCACCCCATACCTGCAGGTAAGTACCTCCATGCCTCCTTCAAAGGCTGGGACATCAATTCTGTGGGGCCAAGTCTCTTGTCTGTGTTACAACATAAGTGACCTGGACAAGATCTGAATCCTGACTGTTGACAAAGTCTCTTCTTAGATGACAAACACGGCAGATAGGATGAAGTAATTGATTTCTGTATTTAACTCTGAACAATTCAGGAAGTAGTCTC